CGAGCAGCCAATCAGATGTAATCTTAGGGTGGTGTGTTACCCCTTACTCAGGTTACAGTGCTAATGCAACGGAAAGGAAGTTTCCTTGGGGTGTAGCTTGATGTCTACATCAGTGGAGGATGTGGCAAAGCTTATTGGCCATTGGTTGTTTGGACTTCAGGTAATGGTCAGCATCTTGCCTACTGATCCTGGGCGGCATCTGAGGCCTGTCATATGACATGTCAACCTTGGATTTCATTGGACTCTGCAGTCACAACCAATGTGTGGTCTTCCTGATCTTGGGTTTGTCAACCTCCCTGACATGGAGTCAGGAGAAGCCACCAGCTTAGCATCCGATCCACGGGCTTGGAGTTCCCCTGGGCTGAAACTCATCTGATTATACAACTCTGGGAGTCGTTTTTTTAATGCAAATTTCTCAGTCTCGCTCTCTTTATTTTTTACATACGTCAGCGCCCCTGGATCTGCTTCTCTAGAAAATCCAGCCAAAGTGTACTTAGTTACCTCAAGGGCCTGTCTCATTTCGTTTGTATTTACATATGCAAATGTGTAAATATATATATACACACACACACACACACACACATATATATAAAAAGATATATCAGTACATACATCCTTTAAATTCCCAAGTTGTCCTCCCTTCTTAGTCCAATGTTGGGGAAATTATTCTTACTCCTTTAACCCAGTTAAAACCTCCTCTGTGAAGCTCTCCCTTCCCAACGCTGCTGCTCGGTGTGCCCCATAACCGTGCATGTTATCGCCCTGATCATGCTTCCCTGTCATTTCTAGTTTTCAAGAATGTGTCTTTGCTAGGTTATGAGCGATGTGAGGGTGAAAAGTCGCTGACACATAGCTGTTATCCAATGAAGTTTTTTATTTTCTGGATTATTCAATAAATGACTAAGTGAACGAATGATTGTTTAAAAAATGGGGCTTTATGGAGCATTTCTTCTCAGAGCTGTACATAGTAATAAGACATCACTGCATGTGTTGAAAGGTTTCTATGGTACTAAAAGTTTGTTTTATTTTATGAAACATTAAATTTTTAAAGTAATAATCGGACAATAAAAGAAACTTTTCTTCTCATTTCTGGAGTGTCATTTGTAGTTTGAGGAATTGAAACATCGGGACAAGGTGAAAATTGGGCACATCTCTGAGCTACCGCATAAGAACAAAGAGATAGCTCGGCAAGCGAGCACTGTCTATCTAGACATGATTTAAGCCCTCCTGGGACATTTGGCAATTTCTAGAGACATTTTGATTGTTGTAACTGGGAGGTGAGGTGATGCTATTAGCATCTAGTGGGTAGAGACCAGGGTTCTTTTTCCCCCCAATTAATCATTTTATTTGGGGAGCTTTTTTTGTGGGGCTCAATAAAAACTTTTAATTAAGAAAAAAAAAGAATGGGGCTTTAAACCGTTCGCACACCTCCCACAAAAACGTCTTGAGGTTTCCATTTTATCTGACTAACCACTAGGCAAATTCGAGCCCCCGAGTGCAGTCTGGTTTCCTATTTTGTGCTCATCAACTCCCTCAGGTCCACGTGAAGCGCACCAGGGCACCAACCACTGCACACATCACATTCAGCCGGGATCAGGGGGGCCATTTATCGTCTCTGAAAGAAAGCCAAAGACACAGTGTTTTGTTTCTCTTTTATTGCAACCCATTGCAAGGTCAAAAGATTCACGGAAATATAGAAACTACAAACTGGGTGAATTTTCTTTATCCACTCAAAAAGACATTAAAGACAAAGGACCAGAATTTTCCACTATAGCAATATATTTCATAGTCTTTATTCTGAAAATACTGTTGACATTTGGGAGAGGATGAAAAGCCCTGCACTAAGTGTGTTCACGTGTATTTATGACATCCTAAGCAAAAAAAGAAACTCTACTGCCCAGAGAAATTATTTTAAGCCTCCTTTCAAAGCATCGAATGAGAACACATTCAACAGCCATCTAGGATCACTCAAGGTGATGCTTGTTAGCTTCTTTTTAAAAAATTAATCCTTTCAGGCTGGATATTATATTTCTACAGATTCTACAAATGTACCAAAGCAGATTTCCAGGTTGGGTTGCATCAGGTTTTCTGGATTAGTCAACATTTAAAAGAATAAGTGCAAGACCCCTCCCCCCTTCCCAAAGCTAAAGCATGTTAATAGTGCGTACTTTAGGCAAACAATGCGACACTAAAAAAAAATCAGCTAAACACTTCCAAAACCGTTTGACAACCAAACTGTAGCACTCCAAAGATTATTACAACTTGAACTGAAATGATACCATCTGTATTAGAGATGGCGCTCATATCTTTTGTCCCTTTTTCTTAACTATTTAAAATATAGTGTGACATATATAAAAATTAAACTTTTGCTTATTCACTCAAGCTACTATTACTATACATACTATCTTATAAATTAGTTTTGGATTAAAAACCAGTTAAAATATTGTGAAAGAAGATGATTTTTTCCCAGTGCTGGGGAGGTGGATATGAAAATGATCCAGTTCAACATCTGTATCAGAAGAAATACAGTTCGCGGATGGAAATAGCTTTTGTCCTACACAAACTGTCTTCCTTCACATTAGGGTAAGATGACATTTGGTTCTGAGCAAAGCCCCCTCACTACTTACGGACTGTACTCCCTAACTGATTTGAGTCAGAAACAAAAACAAAATGCCACATCGGAAACATGCTGACATAATCAAAGGAAAGAGCTGTTTACAAAAAAAGGGAGTCATTATCAATAAGTGAATAGCACTCAAATGTAAATCTATCTTTCTTTTCTTAGAGCTAGGAACATTTTAGCAATACTGGGACTTAGAGAAAATGAAACTCAGACTTCAGTCTATCTGTTAAAGACTACATAACAGTTATGTCCACATCAGAGAAGAATAAATAGCAAATTCACATGTTGAAGTTTTGTTTCTACCTCTACTGTGAAATATAATCACTCTTTAGTTTAAAAAGGCTTCCTGCTGTCTTATTATAAATGTCGACATAGGATAAGTTATTTTAACCTGAGTGCCTACTATGAATTAATTGTAAGGATGTATGAAATCAAAACATGTATCATTTGCTGATAGGTACTGTCTTAACCAAAAGCTAGGAATTAATTGTAAGGCTGTATGAAATCAAAACATATATTCATTTGCTGATAGGTATGGTCTTAACCAAAAGCTGGCAATTTTTAATTTGAAGAAAAAAAAAAAAAGCTTATTTCTGAGAAGCGGAAACAGAATTTTAATGAACAGATTTTCTGGTTTTGTTTTTTTAACTCATATATTAGCCAGCAATAGATCTTTGCGGTAGCGTAACAACTAATCTAAAATGATAACATGCACATATCTGAGTAACCTGTTCTAAAACCCAGAGCAAAGTGAAACAAGCAAACAAAATCAATAGAAAGATTGTCTACTTATATTTCACTCATTAGTCCTCTATTAATTTGACTATATCCAAATCCCCAAAATATACTTTCATAATTACCAAAATTAACAAAATAATTAAATGATCTACAGGGTTTTTTTTTTCCTTTTCTTTTTAACTAACTGCACAGCATTAATTACATTGATGGCTTCAATGTGGTTAATGCTATGATTAGCCAAATATCATTAAAATATATCCCGACCAGTTTTTAAAAACTTTAATCCACAAAATAAGAGCTAACACAACATTAACATAATACTTAACTAACAAGTTTACTATGCAATATAATTCATTTGTGGAATAATGAATAATTGACTTTTGTGAATTGGCCAGGGGAGTTTAGATTGTGAACATAGGTGTGAGTGTGTGCATGCCTGCATGTGTGTGTGGGCTTGACATTTCTCCAATGTACTGGGGTTCAAGGCTCCCAAATAGTGCGACATCGGGGCCGGGTTATAACCTGTGGAAGTCCATAATTCATTCACCCCAAAAAAGAAGCCTGCATTCTTTTGGTGGGTTTCTGGTCATAGCAACCAGAAGCTTGAAATAAACACACCCAGTTTTGGAACTCTACGTGTAATTTTTTGTTTTGTAGAGAATAAGCCTTCAAACTTAAAATCAAGAAGTTGTGTGGCTTTCAAACACTTTACTTGTTGCTGTTTTTTGGTGGGTGAGGAAGGGGAGTACGCGGGGAAATCAAACCAGCTCAACTGGGAACAAGTAACACTTGAGCTTATGCTATGCAGCAGGCGAATGAGACACAAATATATATATGTATATATATGTACTCGCGTACACACACAGGTGACAGTTAAAACCTTTCCAAGAGATCCTCCACCCTAATCTCTCCATCCATCCAGCCCACGGGAGGGCAGGAGCATTAGGAGGAGGCAGCAGACATGTTGGGGGTCCAGCCCATCTGGTAGGCCCTCTCCAAGGTCCTCTTGCAGTCCTGCAGGACGGTGCTGAAGGTGATGTGGGGGTACTGCTGCACCAATTGCTCCACCGTCACTTCGTTGACCTGCAATGGAACAAGAGCAGCCGTCACGCACAGGGAGCACGGAGACCCTCAGCTGCTCATGCTCACGGGCATGCTGCAGACCGCTGGCAATGACACCAGGGGCCTTGCCGCGGGACTTCTTAGGAGCTCGAGAGCAAGTTTTTTGTGAGACTTATCCCTTTTGCCTTCCCTTCCTCCTGATTTCTGAGTACAATATTCACCATCGGGGATTTCTTTCAGGGGACACCAAGTCAGGAAATAAAAGGCTTTCTATTAGCTGACTACTTGTGACCTGTCGAGCTCCTAACACCGATCGCTGAAAAACCGAGTGTGCTGCAGGCACAGCAGCAAGAAGGTAGCATCCTAATGCGCAGTTGACTTCACCAGCTGACAGCAGCTTTTGAGGACGCAAACTGTAGAACGCAAGCTATCCAAATTCCAGATAGAAATGTTGGGGGGAAATATTTATTTTTCTTCCTTTAAATGTTAAGGTATTGCAAACTTCAAGTCCCTGTGTGGAAAGGGCTGGAATGTGAGGAATCAATAATTAAAACATACACGGCTGGCAGGTCAGGGATGGCCCCAGCAGACCCTAACCATCAAAGATACCACCTTGATTCTTGATTAGACAAGGCAATCAGACAGGCCTAATTAAAACTAACGCCTTTACAATTGCTGTGCTGTGAAGGGATTAATTTGTCAATTATTTTTAAGCTGATTGCAGTTCATATCACAGAAGTAGACAGCTTTCTCCATCCTTTAGATAAATAAATGATTAACCTAAGAACCACAACTTTTAAGTAGCTTTATTTAAAATCTTTACTGAACACTTGGGCGTTTTCAAATACATCAATATTTCAGTTATATCTCGCACAAAGAAGGTACTTGTGATACACATTTTTGGGCTTCCTCTTGGTGTCCATTATTAAAAAAGATCAGGACCACCAGGAAAACCCCAAGACAACATCAAACCTGGAGGTTTTCTTTGAAATCCTGCTTAGAGGCAGGGCGGCGACCATGAGGGTTCAGTGTTCTGCACTTTCCTGATTCACAAGGGGGGGGTGAGGGGGGGCAGGGGGATCTGCTGTCTGTGAAGCTCTCACTTTTTGCTGAGATTTGATATTTCAGCATTTCGTTGCGGCGGTTCATTTTTGTCAGAGCACTCCTGTGTCAGACTGGCTGTGGTGAGGTAAATTCAGTGCAAACTCAACGGGGTCATGCGGTTGATTCTCGTTCTGATCCGCATATGATGTAGGAACTATCGGATCTGGTAGGGATCCTTCCTACGGCCAGTAAATCTGCAGGACAGAGTAGAACTGCCCTCGGTGGGTTTCTCAGACTGTCACTCCGTCCAGGAAAGGGAAGCCTCCTCTTCCTCCCACAGAGCGGCTGGTGGTTTCAAACTGTTGATCTGATTCGCAGTCCCATGCACAACCCATGACACCACTCTGGTGCCTTCTTTCCCTTCATCGGACTTAGTATTATTGTTTTAAGTCAGACCATAATTGCTTTGCTTGATGGCTACTTCTCCTGCTTCAATTTAAGATGGACAAAGGCTATAATCACGTTTGTATTCATTAGGCCGGCAGGGAGATTAGTGAATGAATAATGAAACAATAACTGAAAATGAAAACAGAAACCAAGGGGCAAGGCAAAGTCAGACAGCAATCTACCAAATCATAACGACCCACCATTTCCTCAGAAACTCATATTTAAATTAAGAATGCCTCCCTTCGGTGAGACCGTCCTTAAACAAGGCCCTCCTCTCCAGGGCTCTCTGTGTCCCCACTGGCAGGCAGCCGGCAAGGTCTGTCTTCTCTTTATGCCAGGACTCTCACCGGCTTGCGAGGGGTCCGTCATGGCTGCTGCCGCAAAATCGGGGGAGCGCCGAATTTGCAAAATGTGGGAATCTTCGAAAGGTAACTGCAATCAGAATGATAACTGGAATGGTAAAAGCCATAGGCCCATGCTCCAGGACGGGAGCATGGCGGAAGCAGCACACTCCGAGCGATCTGATCTGACGTGCACCGTGGGCACTGCTGTTTCTGACGGTATCGGTCAAGAGCGTTCTCGGCCAGGCAACAAAGAGTCCGCTGTTTGCTCAGAGGGAGACGCCGTTTCTCGCAGGGTGTTGATCCACACTTTTTCTCATTCTGGCCATCATTCCAGCAGAGGTGTGGTCCACACATTTTGGTCTGTTCCCATGTCTCTTCGCCGCCATGACTAAGCAGGGCAGCAGCGATCTGAAGCCCTGGGTTCGGCGCTCTCAGCTGCATGCAGTCAGCTTCTTGGTGGCCTGTCTCTCGCACCCGAGGGAACGTGTTTGGAAATCAGAGGTTGCTTTGTGTCGTGCAGGCTGGGGAGCTGTCGGTAGAGTGAAGAAGCAGCGTGGTGACTGTGGTGAACATCGTGCACATCAGAGTCGGCCAGACCTAAGATTTGAATCCCGGATTTCTGCTAAGATTTGCTTTCCTCAACTAAAAGGAGACACAAGTGCTCATGTCACACAAAGCTTCTTAGAGGAGCTCTTTTGACTCTAGCAGGCAGTCAATACATCACAACTGAATGCATGAGCTACTTCATAACATGTTCGGAGAGATCAACTCTTAAAGTGTTATTCAAAATTGTTCCATTTCTGAGGTCTTTCCGAAATAAATCTTGGTAGCATTAATTTTAACGTTCAAAATAAAATAATCATCACGTCAGTGGTAATCTTTAAAAAGGACTTCAAGTACGAGAAGGCTCTATTCTATCTTTAAACACTCTGAAGAAGATTCCAGAAGTGCCTTTCATGACATAGTCTAGGTTTGAAATATCTGCTGTCCTGATATTTTCCCTTTTGTTTACCTGATGTTCCCCAGGTGCCTGTTAGGTTCCCTCCTTCCAGAAACGAACTGTGAGCATGCAGGTCTCTCTAAAGGGGCGGGAGGGTGGGGGTGGGGACCGACACTGCCGTAATCTGGGTAAAGAGGACGCCACAGAAAGCAAACACAGTTCTAGCCACTTAACATTCAAGAACAACTAACAGAGAAGATAACAGAATGGATAAGAGAAAACAGTTAAGCCCCCAATAACAACAGGGACTGTCTTCTACGGTACATCTTTCCCAATCTGCACAAGGGACTATACAAAACCTTGTGCCGAGTGTTGACAGGCAATTTATTTTGGAGGGCCAGCTTCTTTAAAAGGGAAAATATCTCCATATGATAACTATTTTCTAAGAAGAGATACACGATTCACCTTAAGCAAACTTGATACATGAATATATGGCTCTATGAAGTATATAAATTAGAGAGTAAGTGTTCACTTTAGTCAAGACTTTCCTGATAAGGCGAATCTATTTTGTCAGCTCCCCTCATCTATTTTATATATCCTGTTGATCTACCAAAATTTAATTTGCCTCTATCTGTTGCAAAAAGTCAGGTGCACCTGTAGTTGGGAATCTAAATGATGCTGTGTTATTCCTCTGGCTCTCATCAGTGACAGGCACAGATAGACAATGATTTGGCTTTCGGTGGCTGCATGAAAAGTGGCACCAGTAATCCTCTGCGGATGTGATGTATCTGCTAAGCAATCCATTTACTAACTGCGCTCTGAAATTCTAGAGACAAAGCAGTGGGGGAAATGCAAATAGGCCACTTTAGAACTTAGTTGGGTGGAAACTAATCAGGGGAAATACATGAGCTTCCACTAGGGAAGGTTATATCTTTAACTTACATTGTCTCTTGATAACATAATGTGACAAATTTTATATGAAAGTCATGTTCATTTAGCCCTCAGAAGTACAAATCACGCTCACCTCTTGGTATAGACTCCATAAGCACTTTGGTGCCTGGAGGAGTTCGGTGTAAGACACCAGCAGAGTCTGCCTCAGTTCAAGTCGTCCGCCTACATGCACATCCCTGCAGTTTGTCATGCTCAGCTCCACCCGCCACCGTGCAAAGACCCGTTCTCTGTTCCAACTCATAAAATGTATGTCATATAAAAATGAAGGCTTCTTCTCTAATTTCCCCATGATTCCCGGTTTTCAGTATTCAATTTCTTTTGCTTTCACTGAAACCTACCAATGGCAACTCCTACATTACATGCGAGATTTGAAAAATGCAGTGTATCTTCCTAAAGAAATATGCAGTGGTGTCATTTGAAGAAATTACTGTGATTAAAGAGAAAAAAGCACGCACCACCTCTTTTTTTTTAAATATAAGAAGGATTGGATTTTATAGTTCTCTCCAAAGACTGTATAACCATAATTTACATTTTCAAAATTATTATAGCTCTTTCTAAGGTAGTAGCAATTTGTCTGGCATTTTAATCTATTTTGAGTTAACATCTATTAGCACTTTTTTAAGATGTGAGGCAAATTGGTATGCTAATTAGGGTAAATCACACCACTGTTTCATTATACTGCTGCTGCTCCTATGGAAGGGTGAAGGGAGAGCTCAGAGTGCCGTAAACTGGGCGAACCAAGCTCCTTGGGCCATGACAGGTCCTTAGCTCCGCTCCAGAATTCAGTGCACACCTAAGCTGGAACTCGCTTCTTAACAATTCCTTGACGACTTGCTGCCATTGAGTCTATGCCAACTCATAGTGACCCTATGGGACAGGGAAACCCTCACCGCCTGAGTTTCCAAGACTGTTATTCTTCACGGGAGTAGAAAGCTTCATCGCTCTCTTGTAGAGCAATTGGCGGTTTCAAACTAGGGACCTTGAGGTTAGCAGCCCAATGTACAACCCACTAGATCACCAGGGCTCCTTCAATGGTGCTGACTGCTCAGAAAATATAATTTATGATACAACTGATTCACAAAGTACGGTATGCTCCTTTGGAGGGGTGGGGCAGATAGTTGATACCTGAGTATATAAGACCACACTAAGAAGATAAAAATCACTTAAAATCCTTCCCTTTTTTCAAGAAAAGGGGGACCCTGTTCAAAATACTTCAACAATGCACTACAGAACACTATTGCAAGTTCCTTGAGAGCAAGGAGGTTTTTACTCATCTCTGTTTCTAGTCCTACATA